GTCGTATTTCATTGCCATCTCTTTCAGCTGCAGGCACGTGAAACAATGTGCAAATGACAATCTTTGCCATTTCACGTTGCGCCCACAAAAATATTTATGCCCACCGGTTGAGAGTCAATTTGAATTTTATGCGCTCGAGTTATTGTTTTTCGAATGCTTGCCAAATTGTGGCCGAATTATGCATGGATCTGTGCAACAGTCAGCCGATTGCTATGCATCTGGCTGTGCCGCACCTGGCGTATACGTAATGGAGCGCATGCATATTACGCATACGCCGCCGTTGGACAAACGAGAATTCCACTGAATCGAAACTGAATTCGATTACGGTCGTTGCGGGCTAAATAAAAGATAAATAGAATTTTCAAACATTTCTGGTAAACGACTGACACGAAATGGCCGGATATGGCTCAATTATGGATAGACTAATAATAGCCACGGTTGAGATTTCAATGATGCCACACATTCGCACGCCTTGCATTAATTATCGACAATTATCGGTTGCCTTGGCTTTATGTGTTACACAAGCCCGTCAGGCTACACATGCCGCATGCCACATGCCACATGTCACATGTCACATGCCACATGGCACATTGGCCACAATTAGGCAGGGCAGTCGTAAGCTGAGCTAATAGCTGCCGGATGGCATAAACTAAATACCAACGATATTCATTTACGCCGAACGGGAAAGTTAATGGGAAGCTTTGCATATGTGAAGCCCGAAGGACATCGCCAATCCCTTGTGGCGGGCAGAGCCGGTGAATGGTGGGTCGCGCAGCTGCTAATAATTATGCAAATGTCCGACGAGCGGCCGCAACGCAACACTTGTCAAGTCGCTCGCAGCGTTTATCATTGTCGAATCGAAGTTTGATTGTGGCAACACACAAAGACACACACACACTCATACACACACACACGCGCAGGCGTAAATGTTCGTTTAGGCCAGTTTATATTTCATTTAATTTAGCTCGCACTCCGTGAGCATGCACCGGAAGCACATTCTCGTTTTTGTCGCGAAACTGCACAGCGAGCGGGCTGCTGAAAGGGCTCTTTGCCCGGCCGCATGCAAATTGAAAATTAATTAAAACTAATAATGTATTTGATGTGTGCTAACTGTGTGCCGCCGCCGTCCTGCTGGCCGCTTCCGCTGTGCGAGCCGCCAACTGGGGCTGACTTTAAATTAAAGAGCCAAAGCCAAAGCAGCGGAGCTCTCAGCTCCCAACGCCAGCCATGGCAACGGGGCGCGTTCGGGCCGAAGCCTTTGTAAAAGTTTTTATCTGAAACGGAAAGAAACGGGAGACCCTTGAAACCAATGCGCTGTCACAGGGGCTGTTAGAATGGTGACATGCCAGCGAAACAGATAAGAGACAAAATTGCAACGCGAACTAAGCCGACTACCGGATGCCCTGTAATAAGTATCGACTCACTGTAAAGTGCTTAGGCAAAATATCAAATCAGCCCAGCTGTCTATAAATGGAATACATATAAATAATTTATCGCATATTTAAGCCACTCTTGTGGGAAATTCATGTATTGCGCCTCCTTCCAACAAATTCATTATTTATGCCGGGTGTCTGATTCAACTCGTATTCCAGTTTAGTCGCAAATTATTCTCAAATATTCTAAGCTTTGTCCTTGCCACAGCTTCCGGACCGTGTGCCACGGACGGCCCTCGACAAATCATATTTAGCATGGTAATTATTTATCTGTGTGCGCTGTGCCCTGCGCCGGGCACATTTCAACACTAGAGCGGAGCTCCGGCTAACAGCTCTGCTTGGCATCATTAAAATCATAAATCTAATGGACAAGCAGCTGGCAACTGCAGCTGTATATATATTGCTTGAATTATGGTCGTTCTTATTCTTTCTGCTATTCTTTTCTTCTCTCTCTTCTTCTTCTTCTTCTTTTCGTGTCCTTCAAGATTTACTTCTCTTAAATTTTTGGTGGCTGTTGACAGTCTGTCTGCTGGCAGGAAATGTTTTAAATATTAACATAATTCTGTTTATCCGTTTGGCCTGCAAGGAATGTCTGAGGATAGGTCAGCTCAGACATGCTTGTATATATTTCATCGAGCTGTCCGTACGTAAAGACGCATATTAATTGAATTTAAGTAGCTTAGTTCAATCAATTTGGGTTCTTCATTCCACTCGAAGAGTTATATATACTTATTGGCCAGCTGCTAGGTTTTTGTTTATTTGATCAAAAGTTGCCAACTACAAAAGATATCTAAGCTGCTGCGCAAAGCGGATTTAATAGAGCCAGTTAATTTAGAAAATTCATGAATTTCATTTGATTATATTTAATGAAGGAATACACTTCAGATTCAGTTTTAGAACTCAGTTCTGCCTGCAATGCCAATCAAATTCCATTTGGCTCACAATTTTCGACTCTAATTAGCTTGAGCTGGAAACGCACAACATCAAAGCGTGCAACAATTTGCTGCCTGCTGCTGCTGCTGCTGTTCCTTGTTATGGTTGTGGTTGGTGCACAGGTGTTCGATAGGGCCCCACAGTTGCAGAGTTAAGGCCAGCTGATAAGCATCGGCTTAATTAGTTGGGCTATTTGCATAGCCGAGGGCGTACAATCAAAAACATGCGTACAGCTATTTATTTAGGCCCAGCTCAAAAGCCGGCAACACCCACCCACACACACACACACACACACAGACTCACACACATTTAGTGATTAAAAAAAGTAAAATGTAATAAACGCGTGACCGAATGGTCCGTCCGTCCATCAAGCTGGGTGAAAATTTATGACTATTAAGCTTAGCCATTGTTTGATGTTTGCTGGCTAAAAGGAGCCGGCTTAATGGCTTATTCTGATTATTAATCCATAGCGGGACGGCAATTACCACGATACTCAACTATTGCAGGCGACAAGCCAGCCTAAATTTCAACATTACCAGCAACAGCAGCAGCAGCAGCAACAGCAACAACAACAGCAACAACAATAACAACAACAGCAGCAACAGCAGCCGTGGCTGTGTGGCATACAACATGACGTCGTCTCCACCAATAAAACATACCAAAAGAGCCACAGAATGAAGGCGCCAACTGTGCGTATGAGTGTGAGTGTGTGAGGGCGTCTGTTTGTGCATGTGTATGTGTGTGTCTGTGGTTTGAGCAGGTGTGCGCACTATGATTGCCCCTGGAAGCATGCAACATGCTTTAACTCAGCAAAAGCCACTCGCCACTCGACTGGGACTTGCGGTGGAGCGCGCCTGCGAGTTTACACATACATGTACATACATATACATATATATACATACATATGCATGCGTGTGTATATTTTTGTGGTTCTGGCTGACGGCTTGACGTTTGTTGATTTTGTAGTACTAATAAAATACACGCGCTCAGCGTCAGCGTCAGCGTCAACGCTCGAATGCAGATAAAAAATATAATTAAAAATTGTTGCTGCTGATGTGTGTTGCTGCTGTGTGTTGCTGCTGTGTGTTGCTGCTGATGTGTGTTGCTGCATAATTTGCACAAGGGCAGAGAAAACGCTGTTTGGCTTTTTATGCCCACTGCGTGACTGCGACGCTGCTACATGTATTAACAATATACCACATACGCTGTGGCTCTTCTCCTACTCGCTCTCTCCTTTCTCACTTCTCCTTTCGTGGGTGTGCTTTACGACTCTGCTATAAAGCTAATACACAATTTTGGTTTGGTTTTGCATGTCGAGAACGTCCTTGGCCTTGCGCTGCCTATAACTGCATACTTAAGATGGGGTTCAGACCTAAAACTAGCTGCAGCTGGCATTTGGCCAGTGGATTAAACAACTTTTGTTTTCATATACTTTTTTTTTTGTATTTTTAATGACCCACAGGGACATTGCTAGCCTGTGAAACTTTATTGTTTGGCTTTGCAATGGAGCTCAGCTTTTATTTTAAATCAAATTAAACAGTTCTATTTACTTTAGCAAGGATTAAGCTATACGCTTAATGTTTAGTTGAGTAAAGTTAAGAGAACTGCCTGAACAGCTGCATAGCTTGAAATGATGATGCTGCAATGAATGCAGCTCAGCATCTTAACTTAGTAATCTATGCAATTCATTTTGGGTTTAAAGTGGATTAAAATGAATTCTTTGTATGACTAAAACATTTTAGTTTATAGACTTTGCAAACTTACAATTATTGCTCTATCTAGAGATCTATGAGGCAGCTATAATGAATCCATGATTTTATTTCATGCGCCGTTCACTCAGTACTCAATGCTCATTTAGCTCAGCTGCACTTGACTTAATTGAAAAGGTTATTTAATTGGCACTTGCATTTCGCTTCATCGATTGGCATTTGGTTTAGTTTTGACACACTTTTAATTGCCTGACTAAACCAGCACAGCACAACAATAAACCATTTGCTAAATTGCATAGTTTGTCTTATCCAAATTGTCAACTGTGTCTAACTACTAATTACTACTAAACGTATTCATTTCATTTTTTTTTTTTCTATTTTTCTTTTGTTGCATTGGAAAACCAAAAACGTTTTGAAAATCCATACCAAAATTAAAAAAAAAAACAAAAAAAAAAAACTTTAACATTTTTATCGACTAATAACAAACTATTTGTGTGTTCTTTTTTCTTTGTCTCTTTTCATCAATAACCACTTTTGTGCTGTTGTTTTCATGCTCACACACAACAACAACACACGCCCACTCACGCACATACACACACACACCCACACACATACACACCATATGTGCTGTCAACTTTTTGCTATGGCTCTATCGCTCGCTCTATTTAACTAATAACACCACCACCACCACCACAACCACTTGTGACAAAATGTTATTTAACCCATTTTGTAATGTGTTTTTAATTGTCCAACTAACTTTTAACTAACAATTTAACTAAACTACGTCTGTGCGTAATTCTGTTATGTCCCGTTCCGTGGCCCGCAACCAAACCACAATTACAACAACAAACATTACCATTAACAACAACACCATCATTATAAACACCACCAACAACAACAACTACAACAACAACAACAACTACAGGCTCTTGCGCGCTGAATTGTATGCGCTGAGGTGCAAGGTCGTTGGTGAAGCAGGAGTGCAGTCACAGCCAATGCCACTCGATGCCACACAACAACAACAAGAACAACAACAACAAGACCCTAACCAACAACAGCAAACAATGCTAGAACAACAACAACAGCTTGAACACAACAACCACAAAAATCTACACAACGACCTGAGTCGCCACTGTGCCCGCTGCACCACCGAACTGGGCCGCATCACCAACCGCGGCGCTCCCTGTCGCGTCTGCAAGCTGCGCGTGTGCAAAGCCTGTCGAGTCCATCACGCATTGGACTGGGTGTGCGTTGTGTGCCACAAGCAACTGTAAGTCTCTCTCTCTCTCTCTCTCTCTCTCTCTCTCTCTCTGTCTGTCTCTCTTTCTGTCTCTCTCTGTCTCTTTCTCTCTCTCTCTCTCTCTCTTTCTTTCTTTTTTTAATGTCTCTAACTATGTGTCACACTCATCTAAACAAAATACTCTTAACTCTACGCTCCACACACGCATACTAACTAACAATATTTCATATATGTGGTATCTCTGTGTGTGTGTGTGTGTGTCTGTATCTTCATATCTGTATGTGTGTCTGTCTAATGCGCTCTTGACCTTGAAAGTTTGAGATTTATATATATTATATGATAATATATTAATTTACATTTAACTGCCTCAGTTTTATTTTGCCATTGCCCTGAAAACTGTGCTACATAAAACTATCTGCACATAAATTAAAATATTTTGTTTAGAAAATTTATGTTGCTCTAAGTTACTGTTAAACAAGCTTAATGCCTCAATCTATGTTCCATAAAAATAGTACTAAATATATTATTATTGGCTCGTCAGAAATCCTATTTGATGTCTCTACTCTTAGGTATTCCAACTGGTTCTCCTAGCAAATAAGTGAAGCTGACTGTGAAGTTTCATTGTTGCAATCGAATTGTGTGCGGTCTATAACAAAACTGTCACACGATGCGTTCATAGATAAAATTCCATAAAATGGCTTTGCATGCGGACGCCCGAGCTGCCAAACGGTTCACCGATTGCCCCACTCAGAGACTCTGGGATAGCTGATGCGATGCATAATTTATGAGGCGACATTTTCTGACATTTCAGCAGTATTTTTGGCTGCTCCTGTTGCAATCAAAAACTACTGCTGCCTGCGTGCGGCTGCGTTCTGCGTATTGCTTTCGTTCGCTTTCATTTCATACGTTTCGATTGCACTGCATTTTTGATCACTTTGTAATCAAATGCGACATTTAGAATGCCTTTGTTCCACGCAGGACTCACAACAAAATTTGATATTCAATTTTCATTGGATGCGAGGCAAAAACTACAACAATGTTGCAACTCTTCTTTGTTGCAACAACCCGACTCGCCTTTGTTGCCTTTATTGCGTCAATGTCAATTCTCAATTTTTAAGTCCTGCCCAGACAGGCCTGGACAAGCCAGCTGGCTGGAGGACTTAAGCTTGTCGGCTAGTATTACAAAATAATTAAGAAAATATGCAGCGAAGGAATTCAAGGTCGATGCTAATGGAGAGAGGCAAAGTAAAAGTTTTTTAAAAGCAGAAGTTAAAGTTTTAAATTTGATCAAAGAGTTGGCCTTTATTGATGAATGAAATAATGTGTTTTTAATATGCAAATTTTTAAAATAGTTGCTTCCGATAAATAATTATGGAGTATTTATCTCACTCGGAAATATGTGCTTCATTCTTTCATATACAAGATTAATAAATTTAAGAAAAAAAGTCTATATTCAATTCGAGTTAAATTTTATTTTTGATTGAAATTTAATACAGCAATAATTGAATGAAAATAAATAACATTTCACCTGTCAGCTAAATTAGTTGTAAATGAAATTATTCAATTAGATGCTGCTCTTTTTGCTCATACTAAATTATACATTTTCATAAGCTATGCAAAAATACAAAAACAACAAAAATATTTATTAACTCAAGTGCCTTGAGGTAGATATAATTAATTAATTATATTCAAGGCCAGCACTAAATTAAAATATTCAAACTTGCTGATTTGTGGGCGACATTAGATGATTCTCTTCGAGCTTTAATGAAGTTTAGCCAAAAAGCACATAAATAGAAAGAAATATTACACATACGCCCTGTTGCGCAGAGTTCAACACTTGTTAACTAAGCAAAACAATTGTAATGTAGCAATGAGTGTTGAAGTCTGTGCGAGCTGCCGATGATGCTGGCAAGCGACCCACACGCTCCCAGAGTTCAGTGTTAATTGCCAAGCCCCGAAAAAAGTCGTTAAAACAACAGCAACATAAACAAGGCCAGACGCAAGACTCTGAACTAATTAAATGTTGGCCAACGCAGCAAGAGCAGCAGAGCAGCAGAGCAGCAGCAGCATCAGCAGCTGCAGGGCAACTAGTATGTAAATTTTTGGAACTCGGCTCCGTGCTGAGAATTCGCCAAGATGCTGGCAACGCCCACAGGTGTCAGCCAGATTGACGCCTCCCAAATGGCAGCCAGCTGTCAACGCAGCCCGCAATTGCAGCTGCTGTGCGCCGAGATGTGCACCACGCCCCGGTTTGCTTTGACGAAGGCGTCAGCCAGACACACATATAACTTGCTTTACTATATACGTGCTTATATAATATATATTTATATATGTGTATTGATAGCTCTGGCTGTGTCAGTGGCTGCGTCTTTGATTGGAATTTGTTCATAAAGTCTGACAAGAAAAACGCCTGACAGTCTCGAAGTGGCTGCGCCCTCAGCGGAGACGCCTCCAGAGCAGCCACCCGCCTAGTGTAGTCATTACGGTGTTGCGTCATGTTGGTGTCATGTTCAATGCTATACCCTGTACTTGACTACTAAGGGGTGTATCGGCTGCTTAGAGCAGCCACGTTAAATTTATAGATTTTATTTTTAGCTCAAGTCGAGGCAGTTTTAATCAATTTTTGTTCACTTGCACAAGTAAAGTAAAAAAAGCTAGGGTATTTTCAAGTCAGGCACTCTGCTTTGCTGCACAGCTGCTTTATTTTAGCAACTTTTGTTGTTGCTCTTGCCAGACAATCAGTCAGTTTGTTGGCTGTGGCTGACACGGACAGACGTGCGATGTTAACGGATGTATTTTGGTTTTTTAAATGGAATTGGTCTTGTTGTTGCTCTTGCAGGGAGCTACAAGCAGCCAGCGGTGAGTGGCTGAAGGAAGCCTACGCATCCTGCGAGGCTGTCGATCACCTTAGCACCAGTGACGTGCTTCGGAAAAGCATACGTCGCTCTTGGACCATCTCAAGTGAGTTCGCGACATTCAGTTGAATCCACTGCTGCTCCTTTATGAACGCCATGCTCATTCACAGATCCCGAGGACGATCCGAATAATCCGAATGCCCAGCAGCCCGTCACCGACAACTTGTATCCACAGCAACAGCACTTGATCGAGGCCCAATCGGCGGGCAGTTACCCCACATTGCACCAGCACACGCTGCATCAGCAGATGCAGCAGCAGCAGCAGCAGCAGCAGCAACAGCTTCAGCAGCAACTGCCACTGCAGCAGCAGCAGCAGCATCAGCCGCCTCCGCAACCGCGCCAGACGCACATCATCAATTATAATAGTGGCACTGCCACGCCCATCACTGGCAGCAAGTGGCAGTTGGGGCGTCGCGTCCTACGCCAATCCACGTTACCCAGCACACTAAGCAACGATCCGAATCTGAGCGGCAGCGGTGCCAATCTGGCCAACTACAATTCGGCCAACTTGACTGCGCCCACCTCGCCCCACCAGATACAGAAGAGCCCGCTCTATCCGAGCGCCTACAACAGCGACGACATCATCCACATGAACATCGCGCCCGACTGCGACAACTACAGCCAGATCCAGATCCAGCAGCAGCAGCCGCAGCTGGAGGCAGCCGCGAGTCCTCCCACGCATAGCCATCGACTGCAGGTGCGCCGTCAGTCGACGCTGCCGGCGAATCCATGCCAGCCGCCGCCCAGCATATACATGTCCACCTCACCGAATCGCGTCTATAGCCGTTCGCCGGAGCGGTCGCCCGGCGAGCAGCGCTATCCGCCCTTCACGCGGCAGACATCCTTCCCGGAGCCGCCGAGCAACAACTATCATCGCACCAAGCTGCTGCCCAATACCGCCAATCTAACAGCTCCGACCAACCAGTCGTCGCCAGTGGTCGCAGCGGCAGCGGCGCCGCCCCTGAACTACGAGTCGCAGGCATCGAGCATGGCCAGCGATGACATGGATTACAGCCAGGCGTTTGGCAAGCCACGCATGACGCGCCAGGCCACCTTGCCCAATCCCGAGCAGCATGTCAAGCTGCTGCCCACATCGCCGCCCAAGCGTCAGACGTCGCCGCAGTTCCGACGCTCGCCGGAATTCACGCGCCAGCAGACGCTGCCCAATCCGGAAGCCTTCAACAGCGGCAACACGCTAACAGTGCACCAGACGCCGCCGGGCAAATTCATGCCCATCTCGCCGCGAGCCAAGCAGAACTTCCTGTTTCCCAGCGTGCAGAATCCGCGCCAGTTTCTGTCGCAGCAGAACGTGCCCACTGTGGGCGGCGTGGACCTCGGCAGCGGCGGCAGCGTGGCCAGTGCCACCGGCGAGCAGTACTCGAGCAGTCAGAGCGTCAATATACACCACTCGCGCGACCCGCACTCGAAGATGATCAAGGTGCGCAGCCACAGCAACGAAGAGTATTCGAACAGCACCAAGACGCACGTGGAGAGTCGCCGGCTGCTGCCGGAAATACCCACAACGCAGCGCTCGCAGAGCCGCTCGCCCAGCCGCCTGGTGCGGCAGGACTGCCTCAAGGAGCAGGAGCACGGCTCGCGCACCTTTGGCGAGGCTAAGCAACAGTTCTGCCAGTTTCCCGATGTCAGCGAGGAACTGGAGACGCGACCGGAGTACGTGGACTACTTTGGCAACAGCACCACCAGCTTCCTGGAGTCCGATGAGGTGCAGTACGAGAAGAACTACAACGCCGGCTTCAGCAGCGAGCCGCGCATCATCTACAACGACGGCGCCGACGATGCCGCCTACAAGCCCACGCTGCCGCGGCCCATGTACGGCTCCGAGAATGTGGTGACAGGCGGCGATGGTGGCTACGGTGCGGGCGCACCCATGCCCGGCTTCTATTCCGACATGCATGCGACGCACAGTGGCGCCGTGCTGCCGCGCACTCCACTCATGCACAATCGCATGCGACGGCGACAGTCGAGGGAGCTGCCCGCCCAGCCACAGGAGGACTACGCAGCGGGCCTAACCGAGCCAACGGCAGCCGCAGCAGCCCCACCAGTGGCTAGCGCCACAGTGGGTGCCGCTTCACTCGCGGTGGACAACAGCGCTGATAGGCGAAAGCCAGAGCAAGTGCGTTCCGTGTCAGAGGACTCGGGTGCCAAGACGGCGCCGAAGCCCGTCACGCGGCGCTCCTTTTCGCATCCCGAGAAGGAATCAACGGTGGGAGGACTTTGAAATTTGCCTTTGTGGCATTAGCGTGCTAATTAATTTCGACTTTTTGCAGCCACCAAAGAAAACGGAAGCCTCGAAAATACCGAGTCCCCGACCCCTGGCCGATATACTGGACAAGACGCGCGGTGGCGCCACAAAGATACCGCTGGCCCGACGCCGCAACAGCCGCGGCGAGGAGGGTAAGTGCAAGCTAACGATTTCTAGTAGATGCTTTGTGCACCCGCACAGCACAGCCGTAGAAACCTGTAGCTAGTTAGCTGTAGTTAGTTGCAATCACCCGATTTATTAAATTTTTGCACCCTCCTCCCGCCTCCCGACCCCCGCCCACCCTTTCCGTTGACACATTAACCATTATATAGGTAGAGTACCACAGCATCACTACTCCTTCCATGAACTGCTTAAGCACCAGAACTCTGACTTATCCAATCGCATGAAAAAAACGACAATTCCCGTTAACACAGTCCCAGCCAAGGAGGATGAGCAGGCCGCATCCGGAGCCGTAGCCGAAGCTGCAGCCAAGGCGACTGACAAAGACCCCGACGCGACGAACAATGAGGCCAATGACACAGCAGGTGCCGCAGCAGTAAGTGTGCCCCATCGAGGCCATTTCACCCCCACTCACATCTCACCCCCTTTCCAGCACACCAGCACACTGGGTGAGCAGGAGCTGCAGAATGCAGTGGAGGCGGCTGCCGTTGTCTTCAAGAAGGTGGTGCTGCAGCGGCGCAAGGAGAAGGAGAAGGAGAAGGCCGCCGAGGAAGGTGAGTGCTAATGACCAGCTTCTCCAGTAACTATTATTACATTATGTAGTTTGTGTGTCTGTATGTGTCTGTGTGTGTGTTTGCTTATCGCATAATTTGCTCGGTGATGGTGACCTGTGTCTAACCCAAGTTTTCACCGGGTTTCACTTAACGGCTAATTTTACGCACAAATTAATTACGTAGCGCGGTGGCCAGCTGTGGGAAAAGTCCTGCACTTGAGCTGGGTCATTATTGCCTTTATCACTCACTTCTACATTTATCGCTCATTGGCTTGGTGCGTGCTCCTCCTAAGTAGTTGGGTGTAATTACATATACAAATTTCCAGGTTTTGCACACAAAAGCAATGCAGGAAATATCTGCAACCAGCTGTAGGATGATAGAAAGCTTAAACGCTGAAATGTTTTGCTTGAACAGTGAAAATATTTATAAATAAATACAAAATATAAATGCAGAGAAACTCACGAGAAAAACACTCATTTCTGTGTAACAATTTCTGCTGCCCCCTAAAAGTATGCTTTATTTTTAATAGCTGAATAATATCTACATATTCGTATTCGGAATGTATCCATTAAAACAATGTTTTTTTTTGGGCAAAATATTTAGAGCATTTCTGTTGAATTTTTATTATATATTCCTATATGCGCTTTTATGGAAAAAAGCTAAGAATTTGAACTTGAAGAGAGATAATAAAAATTGCATGTTGATATAGATACAAAATTATACAATTTTTTTTATATTTGTTTGTATATATATTTTAAGCGCTGAATCTGTACAATGCAAGTTTAGTACCTTAACAACACAATTAGAATTTTTATATAACACCTAACCTTCTGATGTATTCAGGAGGACTTACAAATATATATTTACAAGTATCCCTAAACGACTTATCTCATATTTTTGGCAAAACCCAAGCGTTTTAATCGCCTTAGTGGTCTCGCAGGAAGCAATCTTCTCGCTAGTCTGCTCCGGTGTCTAGCCAGTCTGTCACTATATCGGCTAGTGTGTCTCCCAATCTGTTCCTCCACAGTAAACAGTTTCAGANCTGCTCCACAGTTCCGTGTCCTTCTCTAAAGCCAAACTGATGGTCCGGTAAGATATGACGTTCACTGATGATATTGCCAAGTCGATTGGCAATAAGTCTCTCCCATACTTTGGAAAGTGACGACAGCAGACTTATTGGGCGGTACGATTCTGGGTCATCCTCTGGCTTTCCTGGTTTGTGGATCATTACAATCGCTGCCATCTTCCATTGCTTAGGAAAGAATTCCACCCTCAGCATAGCATTAAATATTAAAGCTATGAAGATGATCGCCCGAGTAGGGAGGGCTTTTAGCGTTGCATTGCTCAGTCTGTCATAACCAGGTGCTTTCTTATATACAATAAAACATTTTTATTTATTATTAAACTGGAATAGAAAGTTTAATAAATTTGATTAAATTCGAATATATTTAATAATTTCATTCAACTCAAATATTTATGAAATATACATACATAATATATATAATATATATGTATTATTGAAATATGTATTAATTAAATACCTAACTAATTTAAACCAAATTCTAGCGGCTTGATGATAAAGCGTTACACAGAATTGTATGGATATATTCTAATATAAGATATATATAAATTAAACGTTAGCCTAATATGAAAGCACATTTCGTTACAAATATTATACGAAATTGTTTTGAGTGTAGCAGGCTCGACCTGGGAATGGCAACGAATTCATAAATCGCCCACAACTAAACACACAGGACATACACATCCAATTCCACACACACACACACACACACACTCACACTCACACGTGTGCGTGGGTGTGTTTGTGTATGTATTTTTGAAGAATAGAAACTTTTTTTGTCGCAGTGCTTTTGACGTCCTTTGTTTTGTTTTAATTTGCTGTTTGTTTGCCGTTCACGGGTCGGCGCATCGTTGTCGAATTTATTCGAGAACTACAATCAGGATATTGTCGCTCACGCTTTGGCAGCGAGCTCGGGCTTTGCCCATTCTCGGGGCTAGCTGTCAAAAGTGTACCGTTAAACTTATTGCGTTCACCTGGGCGTGCGCCGATAGTGGCAACGTGAAGGCAATAGGCAGAGCATGGCTGGGCGAGGGGCGAGGGGAAACCACTCTTCAAAACGAGCCAAAGCGAACGCTGGCCAAATATTTGCTTTGTGCCTGCCACAGGCTTGTGCAACATGCATGCATTTCCCGACGTATTGTTTGCGCAAACACAATAACGCCATCGCATGAGCTGGAGGAGGCTGCCTTAAAAGCATTCTGCCAAATCTACCATAGACATTGCCCCGCTCGAGCATTAAAGATGGGAACGCAACACAAATACTTGGGGGCCCATTTCAGAAATACTTAAGGGCTGCAGCCACTCGAAGACAAACAAAAGCACTTGGCCAACTATGTGAAATGGCGAAAAGGAAAAGCCAAATATGTTTGGCACTTCCTTAAGATTATTATAAATATTGGCTTAGGTGCGAAATAGGGGCCATTAAATAACAGAGGTTGGCTTTCATACAGACAGCAATAGGCCATCAATCATCGCTACAGAGGTGTCTGGGGTTGCTTTCTTAGTAATTTGATACTCCTTTCTTAATAATTAAGCTGAAGTAACTGGCCGAAAATAATATACTATAATAAATTAACTATATTTTTAAGTATTATATATATATTTTGGTATCTAATAGTATTAAACATTACTGATCTACATAATCCATGTCAATAGCACTTTACATAAACCCAATAACATTTGAATGCTTGGTAAATGTAAATAACAACATATAGTCTAACCAATTAACCCACAACTAACATCTGTGGTGCTGGTGCTGGTGGTGGTGCTTTAGTTACCCGTGCAAAAACCATTAAACATGCTAACAAAAAACCCGTATTTCACTTGTATCAAACCAGTATTTTCCATTGTCATTCTGTGGTGTTGGTCAACGTCGAACCCATTGCGTCGAAAGAAAAACAACAACAAGAAAACAAAAACCCACCCTATTAATTCGCAGGCCCGCAGCTGGCAGCTGGCGCTTCCGGTGACAGCAACGGCGATGCCATGGAAACCTCGTCGTCATCGGAGCTGGAGTTCAGGTGCAGCACAGCGGGCACGTCGGGTCAGTCGCAGTACAGTGTCGAAGCGGATGAGTTCAAGCTTGTGTTTCTAAACTCGGACTCGTCATCCTCATGCAAAGAGGAGGAGGAGGAGGAAGACGACAACGATACGGATACCGCCTCTAGTTCCTCCTGCACATCCACACACCAATGCCACAGCATTGTGAGCAATGTGGAGGACTGTGATTGGGACTACTTTGAGCCATCGATGATTGCAGCCACTACAACCACAACCACAACAATGATTGCATATGCCAGCTCCATGGCGTCCACAACGCCCACGCCACCGCCACGCCTACGTCGTCGCTCCAGCGACAGCGACTCGCCCTTGCTGCAGCGCCGGCAGCAGCTCCTGCGCAGCTACTGCTCCAAGATACGCGAGAGCGACACCGGCACCGACGAGGAGCTGCACATGCATGCCGAGAGCAGCTCCCAGACCAGCTCCGATCAGAATCAGACACCGCCGACGCCCTCACTGCCGCTCAGCATGAAGGCGCGCATCAAGACGCGCTTCCTCAAGAGCCACCATCACTACCAGCACCACCACCACAGCCACAGCCACAGCCACGCGCCCAGCAGGTGCACTGGCTGCAGTGGAGCCACAGCCGCCCAGCAGCCGCAATATGTGCCCATACCCGTGCCGGTGCCCATACCCGTGCCCATGGCCGCCTACCACAACTGGCAGCTGGAGCATTCGGGCGCACCGTTGCTTGAGCAGGACGAGCACTTGGCCGCCTCACTGCAGCAGCTGTGGCAGGCGGCGGCAGCCGCCTCSTCCACACCAAACTCGCCGCAGCAGCAGCAACAACAGCAGCAGCAACAACAACAGCAGCAGCAGGCGGCAGCCGCAGCAGCTGCTGCAGCGGCTATGGTCGCTTATTCGCAGCAATTCGCCGCGGCTAGCAACATGTTTGATGCAACACCGCCGGCAACCACCAAGAGCTATCAGCAATTGCCAACAACAACACGTCAATTGGATGGCGGCTTCAAGTCCTCGGCGCCGGAGCTGAGCGCCTCGCTGGGCTCGCTGATGACGCAGTCGCTGTGCTCCACTGCGTCCACGTCTTCATCAACAACGTCCGGCTATGGCACAGCAGGTCGTAGCCTGGAAACATTAGCCGGCTGTCTGTGTCTGGCACAACAACAGCATTACCAACAGCAACAACAACAACAACAACAACAACAGCAGCAGCAGCAGCAGCAACAACAACTGGCCAGCAAAATAGCTTTCAAGCCAGCTCCAACAAGTTTAGGTTTAGTATTGCCGCGCACGCCGTCGGGTGAACAGCAACAAACGCGACGCTCGCTCTGTGACGATGCTGATGCCGATGTTGACGTCGCCGCAACGCCCACAACAGCACTGAGATTGTGTAATGCGAATGATAAAAGAAGCAGCGATTGCGACTGCGACTGCGAGAGCGACGCCAGCAACAGCGTTAAATTTAGCGCACATGTTGATGTTGATAAAAGCGAGGCAATGCCAGCGGCAACATTGACAGTCGAGCTGCCAAATAAATGCCAAAATCTATGCGAAACTGTGCAAAACAGCAGACAACTAGCGACAGCAGCAGCAGCAGCAGCAGCTCAAGCACCAACAGTACCAACAGCAGCAACGGCAGCACAAGCACCAGACACACAAACGCAAACAGCAACAGAAAACACAGAAACAGAAAGACAAACCTACCTGGCGAGTAACAACCACAACGCCGACGCCGACGACGACGACGACGGCGACGAAGGCGAAGCAGCGGAGGCAGCAGACGAAACAAATATACATAAAAATCAAGTACCAGCAACGGCAGCAACAACAACTACAACTACAGCAAGCGGAGCCACATTGAGTACGGCAACTCCTGCGGTAATAACTCGTTTCAGCGACGGCCAAGTTGCAGTCGAAAATGTTGAGATTGTTGCCGCCGTTGCGCCTAGAGAGCAACAATTGCAGCAGCAACAGCAACAGCAGCCACTAGAGTCGCAACTAGCAAAGAATTCGCATAGGTTTATAAATACAAAATCCACAAATATGTCCGAGAACGAGCCAAGTGAGTCGGCGACATTTGGCTATTTGCGCAGCGAAAGCTACGCCGCCAACAGCAGCAATAGCAACAGCAGCAGCAGCTGCAACAGTGAAGCTGAAGATGAGCGCAGCCCACGCAAATTGGTGGAGCGCAGCTACGATGTGGCTCTGGCCATGCAAGCAGAGGCAGCGGCAGAGGCGCAGAAGGAGGAGGAGGAGCTGCAACTGGAGCCACAGGCAGCAGCAATGCCCATGCAAATGGTGCACCACAGCACCACCGAAGGCAGCAGCAGCAGTGATTCCAGCAGCAACAGCAGCTCCAGCTCCGAGTCATGTGACTCAGATGACACCGGCACTGTGGCGGATCGCCGGCCCAAGCGAAGGCGCTTTAACAAGGTGTTTGTGGTCAACCGGCAGGTGGGCCATGCGGCTCGCGTCCGACGCAGCTCATCCACCGAGGGTGACTCGTTGTCCTCCTCGGATGCGAATCTTGAAGACTCATCGGATAATGATACAGACACAGAGCGCACCGATTGTGGCATTGTACTCAACTATGTGAAAGCATTGGCCGAGGAGGAGGCAGGCCCAGAGGAGGAGCCATTGGCTGCTGCAGCACGTGATGCCAGCGACGATGATGACGATGATGAAAGTGAACGCCGCATTGCCAACTCAAGCGATGAGCTCGCCAACTGCATTGTTGTTGTGGGCGGCTGCACCGACGACGATGCCAATGCCGGCGGCGTTGTCTTGCATGGGATGCGTGCTCTGCCAGACGTCGCGGAGGAGCAGGAGCCACAGCAACAGCARCAGCAGCAGCAGGAGCAATTAGAGCACAACATTGAGCAGCCATTCGAAATAAGCGCCGTCCTGGCTGCCTGCGATGAGCTCCATAGCATTTCCAACGATGTGAATCGCTTGTTGGCGCTGCACAAGCAAAACTCCCAGTTGGAGCTGAAGCTGCAGCGACTGCGACGCGGCGTCGCCGAAATCAATGAGGATCATCTGCTGGCAACGCAGAGCACTGCTGCGGCTGCCGCCCCCACGGAGCAGAAGCCAAGCGAATGCAGCAGTCAAATGCTAAAAGAAGGGTGTTCAGGTAATGCACCCACCGCACAAAAGAAGGAGGAGGAGGAGGAGGAAGCGGCACAAGCAACGGCAACGGCAACGGCAACCCTCGCGCTGACCAGTTGCCGTTCTCAGAAAAGCGTAAATGTAAATTCTAATGACGAAAGCGAAGCAGCGAAACAAAGCGAACCAAGCAACGCCGAGGGTAAACATGTAAGCGAAGAAGCACAGGCGCAAACACAAGAAGCAGCGACAACAGAGGCAGCGACTCTTGGGTTTTCATGCCAGCAGCAGAGCCAGCAGAGGCAGCAGGTAAAGGCAAACAGCGATAATAAAGTAGCAGCCAAGCAAACAGCAACAACAACAGCAAAGGCAACGACTATCGTCGAGCGAACAGCTGTGCAAACCCAGGTAATGGGAGAGGGCGAGGCAGCGAGCGGCGGCATACGCAGCGAAGCATGCAAAATAAACGACGATTTGTTCGACTCGCTCAACTCTCACTCTCTCGCCATAACGAGTAAAGCACCTGAAGCACAACAGAAACAGCAACAAAGCAAACAACAACAAGAGAAGCAGCCGCAGCAGCAGGTAGCCGAGAGAGCGACAGCTGCTGAGCGTAAAGAGAGCGCGCTACCTGTTGCTCAGTTAGCCGATTGCGCAGCCGAAGTGAAGTCGCAGTCGGCATTGGAAACGGCAGCGGCAGCGGCAGCGGAGTCAGTCGAAAATGAAATGTTAAACGTTGCGGTTGAAGAGCCAAACGCGCGCCTAACGCTGTACACTAACAACAACAACATTAGCAGCAGCAGCAACAACAATAATAATAGCAGTAGAAACGGCAACAACAACAACGACGACGACGACGTTGGTCATAATGACGGCGATTTCGCAGCACAAAAGACAGAAAGCAGCAACAATGCTGCTCTTGTTGTTGGCCAACATAGCAGCAGCAGCAGCAGCAACAACAACAATAACAACTGTGACGTAGTGAATGTGAATGTGATTGAAGCATCGTCGCGTGTGTTTGAAAGTTGTGAAAACGAATACGACAAAATATTTGGCAGCAATCAAGAACTGCAAATCAACAACGAGCCAACTGCAGCTGCAATAGCAGCAGCAACAAATAAAGCAACGACAGCAACAGCAACAACAACAACAGCAGCTAGTGCTGCACCCAAGAATTCACTTTCAGCTAAATATCGCAGCTTAGTGATGATTACAAAAGACAATGAAAGCCCAACAACAACAACAGCATCAGCAGCAGCAACAACGAGTAGCGACAACGATTATGAAATGCCAGCGATTGGCAGCAACAACTTTGGCCAGAACTTTGGCAATGAGTCACACGTTACGCTGCGCGCCTTAAGCAACGACATCGATTTCAGCGCGGAACCGTTGACAGTGACGCCAACGCCAAGTGAACGGGAACTGTCGCGTGACTCGTACAGTGTGGACTCCCTAAATGAGCCGAGTATACGGCCGAAGATCATTCTGGACGATGGCCTGGCCGACGACGACTCCTGGGTGGAGGAGCTGAGTCAACACGGCGATGGCGACGACGATGAGAACTTGAGCAATGCCACGACAACGCCGACAGCCACCGATTCTGAGGATGCGGATGGGGATGGAGAGCTGGGCGGCGGTCGCATCATGTACATGGATCGGGAGGAGGAGCTGCGCGGCTACAACCGATCAGCCATCGACTTCACGCTGCACACCATTGTGGAGGAGAGCTGCGAGGAGAGCGAAGTGGCCTCCATGCGAGCTGACAACGAGCTGGAGCAGGAGGAGGAGGAGGAGGACTTGGCGGAGCGTAGACGCATGCGCACGCTACAGCATCATCATCGGCTTAGCGCCTCGGAGCTGGAGAAGTATTTCTTCTTCGGCCTGGGCGATGGCAAGGTCATGAGCTCCATAGACACTCGTGGCGATGACACCGCCTCGGAGGTCAGTTCCGAGTGCTCCGAGAGTCTGGACTCGCTGCCCCATGACGATCAGCTGCTGGATGGCAGCAATAGTGCCGCAGACTTGGCATCATCCCGCCTAGAAAAGTACTTCCTCTCCGGCTTCATGGGCTTCAGTGGATCCGGCGAGAAGCAGGCGGAGAGCGACGAGAGTGGCGGCAGCGTGGGCAGCGACAGCGAGGGACATCCCAGCCCCAGTCAGCGGCGCAAACGACTTGTACGGGCGCGGGGCACTCCCCGCAGCCACAACTCCTCGTTGGATAATCTGCTGCTGCCCGAGACTGATGCAATGGATGCCACGACAACGGCAGCCGGAGCTGCAGAGGACACATCCGAGTCGGAGACCGGCTGCGACGACACCGTCGTGCACATAGCCAGCGCTGTGGATCGCGCCTCTGACGGCAGCTCCTCAGACACCATCAAGCGCAAGAAGCAGCTGCGGAAACGGCACGACTCCCTCGATGAAAAGAAGCTGCACGAGGCGGCAGATGCGTGTGCCACTGGAGCTGGCGGCGGCATCGGAGGCGACTCCCATGCCAACAATCTGGGCACTGCTCAGGCAAAGAAGCAGCAGCATCACAGCCGAGACAGCGGCTTTGTGGGCAGCAACGACGACCTATTGAAGTCTCCCGACTGCGAGCCCAGCAAGTCCCCCACGCCAACTCTGGGCCAGATCAGTGAGGACCGCGAGCCATTGGCCTCAGCCAGCGCACTTACATTGCCCAAACCGGAATTACCCAGCACGAGTGCGGGAGCCGTTGTCGGCGCGACGCGACGCATCACTCTGCAGCCACCGGGCCCGGGTGGAGCCAGCAGCTCCATTTTGGTGCGCAAGGATAGCTTCAACAACTGGAGCTCCGATGAGGAGACCAATCTGATGATGACCAAGATGCGTCAGTTCTTCAAGACGCTCATCGTGGCCACAGCCAATGCACAACAGAGCCAGAGTCAGAGTCAGAGCCAATCCCAGAGCCCGAGTGCTGGCAGCACGCCCAGCTCAGTGCGCCGGCTGGCAAGCAAGTCGGCCAAGTCAAGGCCGGCACAGCTGGCCTACTTCGAGAATGAGCTGACACGCCTCATGAAGACTGTGCCGGGCATCAATGATGAGCAGGTGCGCGAGATTGTGGAGTATCTGAGCAGCGAAGATACCTGGTCGGACTCGTACGACTCCTCCGACTATACCAGCTCGGACCTGGAGGGCTCCGAGCACAAGGGACAGCTGAAGGCGCAGATCTCCGCCAGCTGCCAGCAGATAATCAACAAGTTCGAGGTGGACGAGGAGGGGGTGCGAGGCGATGGAGGTCTGCTGGACGAGGCGCATGCGCTGAATGGCGATACGGCCTTTGTCTACCAAAAGCTGGTAGCCTCCTTCAGCAAAGTGGCAGTGGGCGAAGCTAGCGAAGGAGCACCCAATGGCAGTAGCAAGCCCGCGGAGCCCGATGAGGATCGCCTGTCCACAACCAGCACGGAGCAGCGGTCGCCACAGCTGTTTGCCAAGGTCATGCAGCACATAGGAACCCGCCTGGTGGCCCTGATGCACGAGGTAAGCAGTGGCAATGAGACGCCCATGTCGACGCGGCACACCCGCCGGGCGCAGGCCAAGATCTCAGCCACGACAACGGAGGATGAAGAGGACGAGGTGGAGCAGCAGCTGCAGCTGAAGGCGCTGCCGCTAAAGCAGCTGAAGCTGCGCAGCCGTTCGCATGATTTGTTGCTGGATGGCGGCGCCAACGGCGGACAACAGACACAGCTCCATGGACACATGGCCGCCAATGCGGCGGTGGGTCATCAGCAGGCAGGAGCCACGGACACCGGAGCCGGCGACAATGCCGGGGAGGAGTGCGGCGTGGCCAGCGATTATGAGCGCTTCTCGTGGCGCGGCAGTTTTGAGTCGGCATTACTGGCTAATGGCGACTCCAGAACGAGGCTCAGCCAGCTGAGCCAGCTAGACAGGGACAACTCGTCGTCTGCGTCCGCTTTGGCTGTGGCAAAGCGCCGATCTGCAGGCGACCTGCTGTTCAGCCAGCACCAGCAGAGCCTTAGCCGCGAGCAGCTGGATCGCGTGCGCTCCTGCGGCAGCATTGGCGGCGGCGATGCCCACCATCATCAGCTGGAGGCATCGCCCGCCAAGCCTTGGCTGTCGTCGGCCAGCTCCTGCGCCGATTCCGCCAAGGATGTGCGCCGCTCCAGCGTACCCGATGCCATCTACGAGACGGACTCCAGCGACGAGGGGCAATCGGCACAGTTTACCGCCAATCGCTCCACCTTGCCGCGCAGCCTGACGGGCAGCGTGCCAGTGGCTAGCACCAATTCCCTGCCACGCCTGCCCACCAGCTCGGTGGCTACGGTGGGCGCCCCTTTTACCAGCACGCCCATCACCAAGTCGCAAAACGCGCTCAACTATACGCCCTCGTCTACGGGCAGCGCCAAGAGCGCGCGATACCGCTCGCCGGGATTGGCCGCACGTGCTGCAGCCGCCAACAGCAGCGGCGCAGGAGTCGGCTCTGCCAGCTCCTCCAGCAGCTGTGGCAAAAAACTAGGCGGCGGTCTGCAGCAGTTCCTCTACTCCAAGCGTGATGCACGCAAACGCCTGAACATGTCAGCGGGTGAGTTTACCAAAGCCTTTGCCTAACTATCTGGCAGATACAACACACACACACACATATACTTATACACACAGAAAAGGGTCACATAGAGGCTTAAAATGCTGCAAATGTTCAGCATTTCTCAGATGCTTACCTTTCCACATAGCGATTAGCCTCCAAGAATTGCCTGAGCCATGCCTCAAATGCCAACGAGGCGCCACATTTGAGCACGTTCGGCAGCAGTGAAAATTCCAGTCAATGGAAAGGGGTTTACCAAGTGATAAATTGACTTATTTGAACAGAGTTCACAAACTACAACCAAAGGGGAAAGCTCTCGAGTCAATAGTAGCTAAAGATTTAACGAACTCTGTTCCAAAATGATATATAGCTCGCATTTCTTTAACATGAACGAGTGAGTAGAGTAAATAGAGTTGTATGCGATTCTATGTAGTCTTTTTGAATGTTCTCGGAAGTCAAAAAGAAAATGTAAACGCCGAAGGTGAGCGTGATATTACAAAAAATAATATACCATGCAACTGTATACACTATTTTATATAGTTCTGCTGAATACCGTTTATATATACACACCAAAGAAACCTGTAGACCCTTAGGTCTTAAATGCATTTGCCCTGTGCTAGGAGCCGGTCATATAATAATAATTTCTATACTATGTCAATGTATAGGACTGATAGGATAGTTTAGTATTAAAGGCATAAAACTGGAGTAATTTTATTTAGCAAAAAAAATTTTTTTATGTATATATAGTATAATATGGGAAACATAGAATAGTATAATAATATATGTAGTACAGTACTACTGTATATATACATGATATACCTACAAATGTTATAGGAAGTATAGTAGTAAAGGAATTAAGTACAAATATTTGTACTTCGTGAAACAGAAATTTATTTATACACATATAAAATTAATATTTACTTATATAGAATAGTATAACAGTATAATAGTAATAGTATAGCAGTAAAAATCTTTTTATCAACATTATGAATAGTAAAAGTAGTCAGACTAGGCAATCAAATAGTTTTCCATAGTAAGTGACTGACTGACATGGAATTTCCATCCACAACTATCTCTGTCTGGCCACGCTGAGCACCTTTTCAATATTATTTGTGCTTTAGGCCTCCGTTTGTAACAGGTATTCGTTGTCTGTTTTGCTCTTGGCCATCTCTAACGCACTGCAGAAAAGAATTTCATATGTTTTATATTTGCTGGCCAACTATAGATAGGCTCGCGGCGCTTTTGTCCAAAATCAACTCAATCAAGGTCAATTAACTGTATCCATATTAAGTGCTCTGCTCTGCTCGTTGGCTGTCTGCCAGCTAAAGTTAACGCGATTTTCGCACACCGCCAACTGTTGCTGGTGTTGCTGTTGCTGTTGCTGATGCTGATGCCAGTTCCGCTTGATGGGGGCGTTTGTTGTTAGTGTCGTTGTGGTTGTTGTTGTTGTTGTTGCTGTTACTGTTGCCTGTTTTACCTATTTATTAGTTGGCCAAAAATAAAGCTGTTTTGCGGCTTGGTCAATGAAACTCGAACTTGTACTCCAACCCGAACCTTGTGTCAGGCACGCAGGCGGGGCTTTGAACTCTGCTTCAATTGTTTTCAGCCCTAGGTATGGGCGCGTGAGTGCGCGTGAGCTGCCACGCAAACAATACAGCTTTTGAATAATTATGGAAACTGAAACTAATAAAAATTCCGCCCACAAATTACGCAATTCAATAATTCTGCAGAATTCAGCGCGCCCATGAATTGTAATTGAATTTACGACATTAATTTTTCTGGAGTTTTAAATTTCAATTTAATGGCTTTTGTGTCAAGTTTTACTTGCGCTTTATCTTTATGAATAATATGGATAGTCGCAGATAATATTGTACTTGGTCGCAGTTGCAGCAGATGAAGATAAGCTGATGAACTAGAAGCTGCTCTATAGTGATTCACTTTTCTTAGTAGCTGAGTTCGTTTTTACGGACTCTGCGTAGTAAAAGTCAGTAAATCGAAATGGAAATAGCTATAGCGTGCCGTGTCACGCGCTCAACCCTAATGTAAATAAGCCACTCCGGCTGACGCTTTGACTGCTTTTGTTTTGCTGTTTAAACAGCTTTGTGTAACCAAATCATTTTGGTTGTAGTTGCTGTTTTTTTTTTGGCAATACAATTATACGCTTGGCCAGTGGTTCAATGGATCTGCGACTGGGACTGAAACCGAATCTGAAGTCCACTCAATGTCTGCGCACAATATCATTTAAGCTCTCGACGTTGATAAAGTGTTTTGCCTGCTTATTTCCTGTTTGCTATGCGATTATTTGCTCTTTTGCATACAATAATTAATGTTTTTGAACCCGCGTTGACACCAACAACGAACAGCGAACAGCAAACAGCGAGCCGGCAACTGGCAACAGAATTTCGAGTGGGGTTTCGTGCTTGGCTGACTGCACCACTGTGCACACTGAGCACGGAAGAGTGTTTGGCCATCCGGCATTTGAAATGCCGCGCTTAAAACTATTTGCATGCACATACTTATATTTAAATGGCAAGTGAGGCATGCCACAAGCCATTTCACACTCATTACGGGATTATTGTTGCGGAAATGGCCGGGCACCCTGTTATGCGGACACCCTGTGCCGCCGCATGGCACACCCGTTATTCGTGGCGCTTGTAATCAAATTAACCCCACGAGCAGATCAAATATTTCCGTCTCTGTTGCACTCGCTGGATGCCAGCAGCTGGAATCATTTCGTTAATTGCACTTCCATTGGCGCTGCGACAGATGACGACCTCTGCCCAGCGAGAGTTCAATATTTCAATAATTGAATAAAACTTAGATTTGCGTAGAAATTCTCAAGATGTGGTCGAGTTCTTCTGAGTGGAGCTCAGTTAGAGCGCTACGCTTAACGGCACTTGATCGCGACGCGCTCCACAGCCCCCAACCGAAACCAAAATCGAAATCGGAATTGAAATCGCTACTGCTTTTTTTAATATTTTTAAATAGCTCTGCACTGACTCCATAAGTCGGAACCTCCGACAATTCGCTGTGCTGAAGTGAAAGTGTTTAATTTTGTTTTGTTTATTTTCTCGTTTTCGTTTTCGGTTTTTATTTATTTAAAGTTGATTTCCAACGCTTTTGGCGCTAGCCCCACTTATGTATGCCGCCCTGCTAGCGGAAATTATGAAAAAGTTCCATAAAACACAAAAGTCTAAAACCGAAAACATTGTCAACAAATCGTGACTGCATTCAGAAAATTTTCTATACCCCGCAAGCAGGCAACAAAAACTTATGGCCGTAGTAAAAATTCATAATTCCAGACGAAATATTTTTATTTTCGGGGCGTTATGCGACCCAGTTTTTTTTTTTTTTTTTTTTTTTTTGGCCATTTGCCATTAGTTATTCGTTTGTTTTGCCAAGCCTTCAATTCTCAACATTTCATAGCCCAATTATGGCCATTAGCCGACTGCGAGGGTATCTAATTGCGGGCACAATTCAAGGCCGGGGCAAGTTCAAGTGCGATTTGCCATAATTTCAATTGAATTAGAGCGAACACCTTGAGCTCACTTCCCAGTGGTTGGCCAGCCACAACATATTCGTGCTTCAGATGGCACACATTGAAAATTCTAAAGCAAATTACGTGTCAAAATATTCCCAGCTCCCCTGCTTTATGTTTTGCTCTATTTTTCACTTTGGTGGAGATTGCTTATCGCTTCGCGCAGTTCGTTATCAGAACTCATTGTGAGTCCATAAATGCGACAATTTGAGCAGCTGTTGCTGTTGCCAAATGCAATTAACTTTTTAAGAGCAGCAAAAACTAGCAAAACAAGCGCAGCTGAGCTGGGCGAGAATGCCCGACTGACAGATACTCTGCATTGCCTGAAGTTGTTTAATTTCTTGATCGCCCGAAATATGTTGGCAATGTTTTCTTCTGATAAACTATATAAATGGTTGCCTAGGAGATTACTTGTTAGTTATGTACGTTAATATTGGTGTCATCTCGCCCCTCTGTTGATCTTGTTGTATGTATAGGGTATGCTAGAAACTGAGGCAAGACTCTTGTCAGTCAGAAAAGCGACGTCAATTAATGGCCGATCCGTTCAATTATAAAGCTCATAACGTCGATAATGAGAAAAGTGACGCGCTTAATTGGCAAGCGGGGCAACAATAAAACGCCCAAAGTTTCCACCGGCTACAATGAGTTTGTGCGTCCGTCCAGATCGAAGCCGCCAACAGCTGCCATTGTGAGTGTGCACAACTATGGCAAAGTCGTTAAGCCGACGGCAACGGGTGTGGAGACCCATCCTGCTGCCGCCCAAATACAATATGCTGCACTCAATCGATTACGCAGCAGCAACAGCAGCAGTCAAGCCCAGGCCACGCCCACTGGCCAGACAAAGTCACGTTGGCTGCGCCTTTGCCGCTGCTGGCGTTGGCGTTGCTGGCGCAGGCGACGGCGACGCCAACGCAGCTACAAGAGCTATTGGCGCAGCGGTGGAGCCGCCAAATCGAAATGGAGCTGGTGGCTGCAGTGGGGCAAATGCTGCGGCCGACACCGAGGGGCAGTCGGCGGCTATCACTGTGACTCCGAGGAGGAGGAGGAWGACATTGATGCCAAGGTCGCAGCCTACATACTCGAGATGAAGCAGCGCGAGGCCGTGGCCAGTGGCAGCAGGCAAAGTGAGCAAACGGCTGAGACCGACTTTAATCAGGCAACAGACGAGACGGCAGCGGCTGGCCTAGAGCGCAGCAGCAGTGCCCCACCCCAGTCACAGCGACAGCAGCAGCAGCAGCAGCAGCAGCAGCGGCAGCAGCAACAGTTGCAGCCATCCATGTGCCAGGCGCAGATCAAGCGTCGCGCTTGGACCTGGGATGACAGCCTGCGCTCCAACTCGGATCGTTTCCTTGAAACGCTCGAGGAGGACCTTCCTGGTGCCACTGCTACGACTGCTGCTGCTGCTGATGCTGGGATGAGGCTGTCGCTGAATCTGCAGCGCCGCACGCCGCTCCATGTGACGTTTCAGCAGGTGCAAGGTAGGCTTCATCTGCCTGCCCCACCTGCCACCCCGTTGCATGCAACCAACTGACGCTTGCCTTCCACCGAATCATTATTTCGTTTTCTACTCAATCATATCGAGTGTGCGTGTGTGTGTGTGTGAGAGAGAGAAATAGACTGTTGACTGGCTCGTTGATTGTAATTGAGGAAATGTCTAAAATACCATTTATTTTCTGCATCCACAGAGGAAGCCAGAGCAGCTGCCGATGAGCTCAGCAAATCTCCGGTTATTGGACAACGCAATCCGGATGCCGCTGCCTCCAGTCCGATACAGTCGCGTGCCTCGAGCGAAACATGGCCGGCCCAGTCGGATGAGGATATCGATCGGCTGGTGGCCATGCACCAGAATCGCAGCAGCCTCAGTTCCCTAGGCGTAAGTAGAACTGCCAGCAAATGCAAGAGTCCCATGCAGCTCTTATACTCTCTGTTCGGACAGGTGCGCTCGGAGTCCATGGCCAGCGTTTATTCGGGCGCCGGCGAGGGTCGCTATGGCACTGTCGTGGTGAAGGGTCAGGTGGAGTTCGGCATGCAGTACAACTATAAGCTGGGCGCCTTGGAGATTCACGTGGTGCGGTGCAAGGACTTGGCTGCTGTCGATGCCAAGCGCAATCGCAGCGACCCCTATGTCAAGGTAACAACTCAAAGTGCTGCTCAGCCCTTGGACAATATTTACATGTTATTTCCTTTGTGCTCTCTCCAGGTTTACTTGTTACCCGATAAGTCAAAGGCTGGCAAACGCAAGACCAAAGTCAAGAAGCACACACTGAATCCCATCTTTGATGAGACGCTGCGCTTCCACACGTCCCTTGCCAGCCTGGAGTCGAAAACTTTGTGGTTGACCGTTTGGCACTCGGACATGTTTGGACGCAACGATTTCCTGGGCGAGGTCAGCGTCAATCTGCAGGGCCGGCTCTTCGACAACCCCCAGTCACAGTGGTATTTGCTGCAGGAGCGCGTAAGTAGACCCGTCCTGTATGTAATGTTCCCTCAAGTCTAATCGATTCTCCTCTGTAGAGCGAGCCATTCGATGATGTGGCCACCTATCGCGGCGATATTGTTGTGGGTCTCAAGTACGTTCCGCCAGAGAATCTAAAGTCTTCGATATTCTCGCGTGGCTCCAGCCTCACAGGCAGCTCCTCGAATCTGCGCAAGTTTGGGGGCAGCATCAAATCTGTGACTTCCAAGTCCGACCGCAGCGCCAAGGGCGGACAGCTGCACGTGCTGGTCAAGGAGGCCAAGCACCTGAGTCCCATCAAGACCAATGGCACCTGCGATGCCTTCTGCAAGAGGTGAGTGAGATCCCCTCTTAAAATTAGCCGGAGTTCACTCTAATCCTTTGTATCCCTTAGCTACCTGTTACCGGATCGTACACGCAGCTCCAAGCAGAAGACACCGGTGGTGAAGCGCACTTTACATCCCAGCTGGAATTATACGTTTGTCTATGAGGACGTCTCCCTGAAGGATCTGTCGGAGCGTGCTCTGGAGCTGACCGTCTGGGATCACGATCGCCTGGCCAGCAACGAGTTCATTGGCGGCATACGCTTCTCTACGGGCACAGGTGAGTGCTAGCAACAGCTAGTATTATCACAAGGATGTGCAGCTTGCGTTCCCCTTACTTACTCTCGTCTTCTACCCACAGGTCGCAGCTATGGGCGTCAGGTGGATTGGATGGATGCTACCGGCAAGGAGGTATCTCTGTGGCAGAATATGCTAGACCGTCCCAACTTCTGGGTCGAAGGCAGCCTAGTGCTACGCTCCAGCTTGGATGGCATACGTTCGACATTGCCATAGGCACAGTTCCCGTCACAATTTGCACATTAGTAATTTATTGCCTAGCCACGCCCACATAAGTACACTCACACACACACACACGCAGACAAAGAGACGTAAACTATTGTGTGGCAGTTTCCAGTTTTCTCCCCTGGCACACGAATACGTCATTTGTATTTGTATTTGTATTTGAATTGTGTTGAATTGTATTGATAATGTAAGAGGTATTACACAATAGGGTACGATGACAAGCATTACTAGAAAGTTAAGCATGAATGAAATTCATGATTCAATTCGATTCGATTCGACTCGAAGCCATTCGTTTGCGAATCGATCGATTGAATGATTGAAGTTTGATTTGCAAGTTTGTAACAATTAGAATGATTTCCAATACTCGAATATATGGCAGTCAGACATACATACATAGCACRTACATATGTTTATGACTATGGCATGTCTGACTGAAGGCCAGACATCAGCATTAGCATTAGCAGTAGAGATGACGCTGCAATTTATCTGTATTGTTTTTGTAGTTTAAGCAGCACAATGTTCAAATACGAGAAACCAACAAGCAAACTAACAACTAAAGTGTTATCAAATTATTGCACTAATTATAAGAGGGTCATAACCCAGAAGATACTATAAATTGTATAGCAAACACGCGGATTGCTCAGTAAAATGACGATGATGGAGTCGAGGATGTCGACAAATTAGCCCATATACATATACATATACATATACATAGACATGTGTATATACATATGTATATACAAATATATATTTATATATATCGATATACGCTAACTTAGGATCATTTGTGTGTGTATTTTTTTGTCCAAAAACAAATGGAACTTGCAATTTTGCATACTGTATGCATTAAATCTACGATAATAACTAAACCGACATAAACTCTAAGCTATGTAATACATAATATGTACTAGTACCTATATAAAAAAAGAAAAACATAATCGAAAAATACAAATAACAATGTTTTTGTAAATGCAACTTTTTTGTTTTCGTTTCTACAAGTTTTTGATTTGCCAACACTTTTTCTAGCTCTTAAGCAAACGTCATTCGAATCTTTACATATTCATATTGACATGAACATATACATATATACGTATATTATATCAATCCGGACTTCAAGCATATCGCAAGCACAGTGCAACTAAATAATTCAACTCAGCTAAGCTTCATAATATCATATGAATACCCGACTACTTCATTAGATACCCACCAAAACTCAACAAAATAGCAGCCAAAAGACAAAGAATATATATTATAAAATCAAATCATAAGATATCAATACAATCTATATGTCACTCTCCCTCCAACCTCTTGTTGCTAAAAATCTATTTGTTGTGGAACTTTTATATTCACAATATACTTACATACATACATACATGCCTATATGTGTATGTAATATTAAGAAATACTTCGAGGCAGCTCCTTAAGGCGTTCGATCATACTACAATACAAAATTGTTGGAAATATATATACATATATA